TTGTGACTTGTTTTATGGTGTTTTTAACCATAGGTTTTAAAAAATATTCACAAGTAATATTCACACAAATATCTTTTATTTTCATAAATAATTTTTTATAAAAAAAAAAATTAAAAAGTCTAACGAGCCTTTCTTTACATATTTTTAATTATAAGATATTCATATGATGCATTCATTTACAGCAAACTTTAAGCTCGAAAACAGCTTATTTGGATGTAAATAATTTTTTCATTGTCTTTGAAAAATACAAACAAATTAATATACCGGGTAATATGATTAAGAGCGTATATTGGCCTTTCAATGCTGAAACCATTGTTTAAAAAGGATGACTCAAAGATCTATCAAATAAAAAGTTGGTGTGACATTCCACCTTAATATCATTTTCAAGAAGAGAAGTAAAAAAAATAGTTAATTGAAATTTTGAAAAAAATGAATTTTCTTTCAGTGAAATAAAACCAATTTGACATATTTATCCTTTTCTGTTTTTCAGATAGGCTTGATGATGATTCTCAGAGACGGACAACAGAAGATCTCAAACAAAAATCACCAGATTACAAACTAGAAGAAGCCTTCGCTCAGACAATAGTGTTTTCCTTGACTGAAAATCAAAAACATCCAAACTGTTTAAATCATATGGTACCAAACATTGTGATATCTCCAGAAAAGTTTGAAATAGTGCTATATGATGCAGAAAGAGATGTTTTGCTGTGTAGCAATTCTATTTTCTTATTCAATTTGGATCTTCCAGAGCACAGAAGTCTCACTAATGAAGCCATAATTATTTTATGGATGGTGTTACATTATGAAATATTCTGTTCTGGATTGGAAAAGGCCAGTGACGATGTGCTTGTAAAATGTAAATCAAATTTCAAAAGTCTAGTTGAAAACAAATGGGATATATACTCAAATTCACTAAAAATATCTGTGTTGGAATTTAACCCAGTGAAACGTTGGTCAGTTAATGAGTTACTTAGGCGAGGTCATCAATTAAATCTACATTAAGAACCATATAAAATTAAAGAAAAATAATATGTAGTTTGATTTTTGTGAATTTACTTTTTTATTCATAATTAGGTGACTGAACTCAGAGATGTTTAACATTATTTTTATTACGAAACCTGCATGTCAGAGTGGTTATAGCACCCGCTAAAGAGTTGCAGAGTAAGGAACTAATCCTTATGTCCTGGGTTTGAATCCACTGGGGTACATTGAGACCGTTCCTTCAAATGACCCCATAAACCAAGACCTTGGTATGAACCAAGATCTAATATCACAGTAGGTGTTATCATGAAAAGATTCCTCACTGCTCTTGAGAATAATTCTCAGGTATAAAGCAGCCTTCCACTGGAAAGAGGTGGCATATCCATATACGAGGGTTGTCCCAGAAAAATCTGAACATTTTCAATATTTGCTGTTTCACTAATATTATAAAGTTAAAAATTGGTATACCTCAAAATTAAGATGATTCACGGTTATTTCAATAAAATATCTCTATAAATACCATTTTTATATTTGATCAACGAATCATACAGAATAGCAGTCGGCGCAACACAGATGACGTCAAAACGTCACTCGTGAAGTCTTTGAATTTGTTCAGGAAATGTGCATCCTCAAAATGCCACAATTAAAATAAAATCAAGAAATTACTTCTTTTTGAAGACAATTTTCTAATCATAAATCTAACTGCTCGCATAGTTAGAGGGGATCTTCACTTATGACGTCCAGCTCTGGCTATAGACCGTTTAGTTGTCATTTTTGCAGTTCTGCCATCCTATAACTAGTCCATTAATCTTTGAAACTCTTTTACTTTGTATAAACCAGTTTTTGATACCTTTATTTGTGTCGTTCCCTTGTCCTCAGCTCCTTTCCCCTATGAACAGGGGTCATACCCTGCTCCACAAAACGCTGAGTGATAATTTGGTGCGCCGCATTATCGCCCGACGTCGCCGTTTTTGACAATATCTAACTAAAACTTTTTGTGCACGTAACGTCATATATTTTTTTATATTCATAATGTAAGAGTATTTATTTTTTCCACACAAGAACACTTGATGCAGTTTTAACACCATTTTAATGTTGTTCCTTAATGCATATTACGACACAACCTTATATATTTATAGCCAAAATATAAAAAAAAAATTCATTTCCCAATATTGTAAGAAAAATAATAATTTTGGTCCGGTAGTTTATGAAATATTTGATATTTTCTGGGACAACCCTCGTAGTACATGTAAGAAGCAACTTTTAAAATAGAAATATCCTTGATGCTCCTTTAAAACACAAAACCTCCAATTAACATTTTTTTGTCGGATTTTAATAACACTTAGCATGCAAATACATTCATGATTGCACTGATAAATAGTGGTTTAACACAACTTTCTATTTGTATTTCGTATGAATGATATCATAAACTAGAAATTTTTGTACAATTCTTTCAAATGACTATTCCTCCTAATTTTGATCTGATTGCATTAATTCAATTTAATCCTGCAGCGAAAAGAAACTTTAAGGACAACTTGGCAAATTTCAGCAAAATTTGCCAGTTATCCTTTTCATATTCGACAGACAAATGGAGGGTCAAGCTTTCTTCTAGGATTTTGTAATTAATATCTAAAGGTAAATTCATTAAAGTTTGGTCTGTATCGTTTGAGAGGATCCAACTTCTAAAAATATTTCAGAGTTCTGTCAATATTAACCAAAAATAATTTGCTTCTCCGCTGTAATTAATCACTAATGTACATGAAAATATTCAATAACAAAGAGTATTGAACGTTTTAATAGATTTCAAAACTATATTTTGTCAGAAAGATAATTAAATTTAGATGATTAATGTATTTAGGACAAGAAGAGTCTTGCCAATCAATATCTTGTCAAAGATTAGAGGTACATGTATTTGTATTGTACAGACTATCAAATACACATAAAGTATTTCAATTTTCCATAGACTATAACGTATGGAGATGCATTTTAACTTCTACATAAAATGATGTAAGTAAATACTACTGTAGATTCCTAAATATACGCGTAAAATTAATTATCGCGTAAATTCGCGAGAAGCACCACACGCGAAATAAAATTACTCGCCTTTATTTTTATGGTGCTGAAATCTATGTAAAATCTCTTGACCAACCGTCCATTCGCGAATTATTATTCTCGCGATTTGACGTTGAAGAGCCCATTCGCGATAATAAGTACTCGCGAAAAATAAGGAATCTACAGTATTAGATAAATTCCTGAACGAAATTTTCCTTCCATTCTTCAGGTAACAGACATCAAATTTTCAATAACAAGATGTCATCTGCATTATTTATGTAAGCTTTCTTGTCAGTCAATATTTAGGGGGAAAAATCCATGTACATGTGCTTGTCGCAAACTCTTACATAATTTATGATTAAAATATTGCAATTAAAAAAAAATAACAAAAAGATTCTGAGGAGAATTTTTTTTTTTTTTGATTTGAAAATTCCTTCAATGTAAATTAATAAAAAGTTCCATGTCTGGATGTTTTACTCCCCATACTGGCATAGCCAATAAAGCCTATTAACAAACTACAAGTGTATGTTAAAAGACGGAACTAAAGTTTTTTTCGTCATCAGCTTTTGTGTGTATCTATATAGAAATATTCTGCTATCACAAGCCGCATATAGTCTTTATGTCACCGTCTGAATGCTATCTCTGTGGCAAGATACTGACTACTGAAACAGCACATTAAAATTCTTTGGTCATTATTATGGTCTTGTTGACAAATGTAACCCATCGTTTGTCGTATTTTCCTGCCTTGTTTCATATTAATTGTTATACTTAATTTGACAAAAGAATATTATTCCTTTTTACCTGGTTACATGTAATACATAGGACTCACGGGAGGGTTTACTCGCGGTGGTTCTGACCTGTTTACAGGAGAAGTTTACTTGCAGGGGTTCTGACCTGTTTACAGGAGAAGTTTACTTGCAGGGGTTCTGACCTGTTTACAGGAGAAGTTTACTCGCGGTGGTTCTGACGTGTTTACAGGGTAGGTTTACTCGCGGGAGTTCTGACCTGATTACAGGGGAGGTTTACTCGCGGGGGTTCAGACCTGCTTAGAGGGTAGGTTTACTCGCGGGGGTTCTGACCTGTTTACAGGGGAAGTTTACTCCTCAGTCATCTACCCTCTGAAATTCATACAGGATTTTATGTTAAGTACAGATGGTCACTGATTTATAATGCTTTTAGTTTATTTATTATATTTTTCTCTTTTTAGATCTTTGTTTGTTTGTTTGTTTGTTTGTTTGTTTGTTTATTCAGGAAATGGCACAAGTCATATATGAAACATAAGATAGAAACATTAGAACATAATTAGCAGATGGAATCCAAAGAAATCATAATGTTTCGTAAAAAATACAATTGTAATAAAACACTGGCATTATTTAATAAAAAACAAGTACTTAAGAAAAAACATTTAATTCAGTATATCTAAAAGAGAATGGCGGGTAACTATATAACTTTTGTACTAAGAATAGCCATTTACCCGAGGATGACCCATGAAAGCAATAATGTGCTTATTTCCAATGGGGTCCTCCTTGTTAATTATCTTCATATTTTTATATATGAAAGTAGTTTAAAGCATATATTTGTCGATGTGACTGGACGAAAAGGAATGCTTGCTCCTGTATGGCGCCTCCTCCTATTTTTGATGGTTTTAGGGATCTGGGTTTGCTGTACTTCGTATTTGTGTAGTTCCACTGGACATATAAACTTGAATATTTTCGTACTTTATATAAAAAATAGTAAGTATTACACAAATGTTATAAAATACAATATTTGTGTAGTTCTAGTCCTACTGTACATTTGAGCTTGGACATTTCGAATTTAATATTTTAAAAAAATAGTAAGTATTAAAGAAATGTGCGAGTTTTAAAATTAACATGAGGGGTTAAGGTGTATTTTTTAACTTAAAAAAATGACATAGACTTTTGCAAGCCTTTCTATATATCTAGTCTAAAGATATTTTTCGTGGCTTTTACAACATTTTTTCACAGACAAAGGCGTACAGGCGCTCGTGCCAGTTGCAGCTAAAATCAAACCATTTCCCTCTATATGTCATCAACACACAAACACCAATTTCATTAAGTTTGTTCACTACCCATGACATTGACTGAAGAATGACCGGTTCGGTGCTGTGGTCCCATGTAAGTATTTCGTTTTCCCATTTCGCTCCTATCCATGTAGAGTCTACAAGATGATTGTTCTCATTTCCTGCAAATCAATACAACGAAAAAAAAATAGAAAAATTTACAGTAAATGTTGCATACATGATAAAGTTTTATTTTCATCCATTATGGAATAAAACCTTTAAAACCTTTAACCTTTAATATTTTTTTAAATAGAAAGTTTAATTATTATATGAGGCTTCTATTTACCAAGTAATGGGGTTTTATGACAGGTTGGTGAATTGTGTAAAAATAACGTTCTCTGAAAACTTAATATTTATCTTACCATTTTTTGACAAAAACATTTCTGATATCCATTTGCTCTCCTTGGCTGATGTCATCTCTACTAAGTAAGAGTTTTGCTTTGTACACTGGGTCTAAAAGATGCATGTTTTCCATAATGATTATAACGAATTCAAGAAATGAGCTTTAAAAAGTATCAAAATTAATATAAAATGAGATCAAAGCAAACATAAACCTTCAAAAAAAGAAATCAGAACTGGTATCAAATGCCACTGAGAGGAAAGCATCCCCTATTAATCGGTCACACCACGTGATCATCGTCATGATATAATGAGCTTATAATTTGTATGGAACACATCAGTTGACAAGCGGATCAACAATAGAATTAATGTACAAGAGTTTGTTACAAGAATACCATAGAATCTGGTAGGCATAAAATCTTATTGCATGCATATTTCTTTCTTTACTCTGCTCCAGGAAGTATTCAAATTTTTCTGTTTCACGGTGAAGTATCTCTTGCACTGCTATATACTCTGCATTGCAGTTGATTCTGCTTAATTGGTTTTAATGAAGGAATAATGGTATAATTTTTTCGTTTCATGATGTGATCAATCAATTGGCTTGCGTGGTAATTTGCATAAACGCCGAAGGTATTTACATGCTCTTGATTCCGTATATTCAAGTGCTTAAAGCCCCGTTTCTATCTTTATTTGTCCCGCCCCTCACGTGTTTTCAACCAGTAGATTTATGTAGAAATAAAGTATTTTAACTATTTGTAGTTTAGTCTCAGACAAAGACATTGAAAATGTAAATACTACAAAATATTTTCTCATTATGAACAATAACTAGACAAGTACTTTAAACAAATAATTCGGCAAATACTTTCTTATACATGTATCGAAATTTTGACTTTCAAAATTAAACTTTTTTTTTCTTATTTAAGAATTCAAATTTTACCTTTGCAGCTTTCCATGTTACTCTTGTTTCATTCAGGTGATAACAATGACCTGCAAACGGATACCATCCAGACTCGCATGCTTTAACATAAAAGTCCTTTTTTAATATTGAGTTACAAATTATATTGAGGCACTAATCCTTTGGAAGTGTAAATTTTACTTATTTTACGTACTGTAACACTTCAATGATTGATTGATTGATTGTATATTGATTAACGTCCCTTTCGAGAATTTTTCACTCATATTGAGTCGCCACAACTCGTCGGTGGAGAGCTGCAAAATTTGTCCTATACTCGGCTCTCAGGCCATTGAGCAGGGAGGGATCTTTTTCGTGCCAGCACCTACTGCGACACGGGACCTTGGTTTATACGGTCTCATCCGAAGGACCGGTGTCAACGTCCCTCAGTGGGATTCGAACCCGCGACGTAAGGATTCACTCCTTCCTTCGCGACTCTAGAGCATAAGCTCTATTATTCTGCGCCACGCGGGCGACGCAACACTTCAATAAAATGAAAACAGAAAATTGGACTGGTGTCTTCTTAATCTCTTTTTTTAATCTTGAAGGAAAAGGTGCTTTGCTCAGAGGCATAAAGTTTTATGTTTATATGTACTTCACTCCAAGTCCAAAGTTTATTCATAATTTTTTTATGGTTAATTATCAACGATTGTATCAAATGCTAGTATTAACATGCATGCTTTGAAAATTCTTTACAAAGTTTATATCTTTTATATATATTAATTGTAACTTCTCTATTTTCTATAAGTAATAAGACATAACTTTAAAAAATAGGCATTGTTTCAATTTTGTTTCTAATATCATTTTGTTTGTCTTTCAATATTTAGACCATTTATTTTTTTTTAATGTAGGTATACATTTTTTTCCTTAAAGAAAAAACTTGAATTTCATTTTTACATACAAGAGTGTACTTTTTTAAAAAAAAATTAATACATGATATGTTTTGCTAAGAAACCTTGCATTAAGGTGACAACATAAGTCATTAAAATAAATTTTATTTTTCATACCTTTGTAATTTCCAAAAAACTTCCATCCATCTCCTTCTTCAAGAAATCTTGTATTTAGCAGACACTCCATCACATTACAGATTTTTAGTTTATCGTGATATAGCAATCCAGAACAAAGAGGGATATTCTTCAAACAGAATAATACACAAGATTCGAAAGTTATATTCTCAAAATGATCCAACACGTAATGACCATGTATTGGATACAAGTTGTCTAACAATGCATTCCGTGCCAATGTAAAATGTTGAAACTTGAAACCAGCATGTAAATTTTTCAGAGTAAGTAACACCCATATTATTATCACCATTAATTTGAACATTTTAATTGAAGATAGGATATATGAATAAGAGAAATTTTAAACTCTTCTTTTTTTAAAAAACAAATGTAAAAAACACGATTTCTTTAAAGTTACGTGGTAATTTGGTACTCTTTTGAAACAACACGGCATATAAGCAAAGAGGGTCTTCCAAATACAACTGCAGTGAGTTACATGCAAGAAAATGATTCACAATAATTATCTGCTATATAATTCTGAAGAAATTTGAACTTCTTTGAAAGTGTTTACTCATCAAAGCAATTTTATATTTATGTTCTGTATCGTTAAACTTATCCACCTCGTTTAAGTTTTATTGATATTTAAAAAAAATCACTTGCTATCTGTAATAAATCGCAACCTACCATGCAAAATGTATCAAAAGAAGTATTGAACCTTTAAAGTCTTTATTAAAAAATTTTAAAGATTTTTATGTCACTTATAAATATATTTTGCAAAAGAAAAATTTAACTGTCAATCAATAACTACATATATTTTGTCAAGTTATGGTAGCACTGTAATACTGAGAGTAATACAAATGTAACATGGAAATCTTCAACCATTCTAGAGAGTTTATTTCATGCTAGTTTTTTTTTAAATTATATTTTCCAGAGTACATCAAAGAAGGTTTAAAAAAAAGTTTTGATTCGGACAAGTTTTTGACAGTTGGTCTGGAGAAGGCTAACCAAAATTTTTTTTAAAGGATGGCCGCACGTTAAGCCTTCTTGTGCCCACTGTTCCTACATATATATGTACATATTTAAAGGATCATATATACATCCTTAAAGTGTATCTGGTTAGAGACACAGCTACTTGTGGACAGGACACCCCCCCCCCTGTTTTTTTTTAAACCGGTTTAATCTCCATTTTGAATAAAATTGGATTGATGCTGATGCATGTTGGGATGCACACCATCATATATAGGTTTTGTTCATATAAAACTTTGCCAGACTAGTAGATAACTTTTGCCAAAATAAGCTTATTTTTCTTGAATACAATTTTTTTTGTAAATACATTATTTATTCATATCAATTTAACCAGTAAAATTTGGTGGTATACTGTAAATCATTTTCAAGTAGAGAAGTAAAAAATAGTTAATTGAAAATTGGAAAAAAATGAATTTTCTTTCAGTGAAATAAAACCGGTTTGACATATTTATCCTTTTCTGTGTTTCAGATAGACTTGATAATGATTTCGACAGACCAACAAGAACAGATCGCAAACAAAAATCACCAGATGACATACTGGCAGAGGCGTTTGTTCAGAAAATAGTGTTTTCCTTGATTGAAAATCAAAAACATCCAAACTGTTTAAAGTATATGGTACCAAACATTGTGATATCTCCAGAAAAGTTTGAAATAGTGCTATATGATTCAGAAAGGGATATTTTGCTATGTAGCAATTCTATTTTCTTATTCAATCTGGATCTGCCGGAACACAGAAGCCTCACTAATGAAGCCATAATTATTTTATGGATGGTATTTTATTATGAATTATTTTGTTCTGGATTTGAAAAAGGCCAGCAATGATGTGCTTGTAAAATGTAATTCAAATTTCAAAAGTCTAGTTAAAAGCAAATGGGATATATCCTCTAATTCACTAAAAAAGCTTTGTGTCGGAATTCCCCCCAGTAAAACATTGGTCAGATCATGAGTTACTTCTACCAGGACATCAACTAAACCTAAATTAAAATCAAAACAACAAAACTAATTGTTTTCTACGAATTGAATTTTCTTCATAATTGGGTGACCCTGAGATGTTTATGTGCATTTTTGAATCATAATTATAAACCAAATCTGGATTGTTATGATACTCATAGATTTATTTTACTTCACACCACAAAAACATAATCTGAATCCTAAGCTTGAACTCTTTAACGAGCTTCCTTAAGAGCATTAAAGAGGTATCTCAGACCTGTTACTAAGAAGAAATTAATAACAAAGACTGCATGAATAGGAAAATGAACATAAATGTATTATGAGAGCAGAGTGGCCTTCTGTTGTTACATTGCAATGCTAGCTAATTACAATGCGTCCAGATATATGAGGTTCCACTGTAGTCTTTTTTGTATATAAATCTTCAAAGGTTAAGACTTTAAACAATGTATGTAAATAGTGTAATATAGAATTTCTCGTATTTGACCATTTCAAGTAATTTGTGTTGACTAGAAGTGCATTGGTAAAAGTGTTTGCTCTGGAGTTGCAGAGTAAGGAACTTATCCTTATGTATATTCACAGTGTAATGGGACTGAGTCCTAAGAACAGGTTTAGAGCAGCCCTTCACTAGAAAGTAGGGATGTCAACGAATATTCATTCGATGAGTTGATATTCGAATATAAATATATGATTCGAATATTCGGTTTTTAGATATACGGGCGTTTATTAGAGAGAAAATTTTGTACGTTTTATAAGTTCATACCGCTCACTAAGAATACTGTTTGATTTTTAAAAGAAATATTAAAAGAAAGTCCTGTTGGATTACTTTAAAAGTGTAACTAGTAAAAATATTATTCTTTGATCATTTGATTAATGGTATACAAGTGCCAAATAAATACAATAAGTTTGTATTGTTGTAAGGAAACAGTTTTACAGAAAACACATGGATCCCTTGTTTATGTAAATATCATTAAAAATAATTATCAGGAAAATAAATATCTAAAATTAATTGATAATAATTTTTCTTCAGTAGATAATTGTTTAGCATGGTATAAATTTGTAGGAGTAATTAGTGTAGACTTTGGTAAGACGATTAATTAATCTGCACATACTAAAGAATCTTTTGAATTTTCAAAAACAAATTTTGATTACATTTTGGATGTACATGTATATTCTGCATATATTCTGTAAAATTTTGAAAATATAATTACTTTGCATTTACAAATCTCTACGTGAACTTTTTTTCCCCTAAAAATGACATAAAATGCATACTGGTTGACAGGAGAGTGAAAATATGTATTTTATAATGCAAAATGCATTTATTTCATCGAATATTCGAATATATTCGAATACTCCTATCGAATATTCGAATATCAATTATTGACAATTTTGACATCCCTACTAGAAAGTGGTGGCTTCTCCATACAATACAATTTCTAAAATGAGGTAAATTATTGACAAATAAGTTGATGAAACTAGAATATCAGCAGTTTAGTTTAAAGTCATAATTTCGTATAAGTTCTATGGTCGATACAATGACCTTGTCAGTAAATACAGTTTATCATACTTGAGTCAAATGCTGACTGAGTATTTTCATACTAATTGTTAGTCCATTATTTATACTGAATTGACAACGGTTTTTGTCGTTATTTCCCAATCATGACAAGGTGTGACCGGTCAGCAGGGGATGCTCACTCCTCCATGGCACCTGCTCACACCTCTGATGTTTTGGATGCCCATGTTTGCTGTGCTCCTATATTATATTGTTTTATGAATTTTTTATGTTGTATACTGTTCATTTTCTCCATATGTTTCTAAAGCTACTAAAATAAAATGTCCTTGGAGTTCCTTTTAACCACCACACCTCCAACAGTTTTGGTCTGATTTTAATTACACTTTGTATGCAAGTACATTGCACTGATATCGAGATATATCACTTTCTACGTGTATTTTTTACTTTCATGAATGGTATCTTAAACTAGATTTTTTTGTAACAATTCTTTCAAATGGCTATTCCTCCTAATTTTAGTCTGCTTTCATTAAATCCTGCAGCACAAAGAAACTTTAAGGACCACTTGACAAGTTCCAGGAATATTTTCCACAAGTTATCCTTTCCATATTTGATAGAGATTCAATTTTCTTCAAATGGAGGACAAAGCTTTCTTCTAGTACTAGTATTTTGTAATTAATATTAAAAGGTTAATTCATTCGAGTCAATTCTGTATCGTTTGATAGAATTCATCTTCTAAACAATATCCAGAGTTCTGTCAATATTAATTAAGAAATGCTTCTCTTCTGTAATAAATCACTAATTTACATGAAAAATTTAATAAGGAAAAGTATTGAACGTTTTAATAGCTTTCAAAATTCTATTTTGTTAGAAAAATAATAAATTATGATTAATGTATTTAAGAAAAGAAGAGTCATTGCCAATCAATATCTTGTCAAAGATCAGAGGTATTCGTATTGTACAGACTATCAAATACACATAAAGTATTTCAAATTTTCCATAGACTATAACGTATGGAGATGCATTTTAAAACTTCTACATAAAATGATGTAATTAAATAGATAAATTCTTCAAACATCAGAGGTATTTGTATTTTGCAGGTTATCAATACACTAGTCTTTCAAATATTCCACAGACCACAATGATTTGAAGATTTATTTTAAAAATTCTAAATAAAACGATGTATATTAAGTAAATAGATATATTCTTGAGAAATTCCTTCCATACTTCAGGGAGTAAACATAATCAAATTGTTAATAAATAGATGTCATTTGTATTATTTAAGAAAGCTTTCTTGTCAGTCAATTCTGGGGAAAAATCAAGGTACATTGCACGTATTATTGCACTTTTATTATACCCCCGCTTGAAAAGCGGGAGGGTATATAGTAATCGGTAAGTCCGTCCGCCCGTCCGTCTGTTTAGCTGTACGTCCGTCAGTCCGTCTGTTACGCTTTAGGGTACGCATCTCTTATCCGCAACTCCTCTCATACCACTGAATGAAAATTAATGAAACTTTCATAGAATCTAAGTTACATATTGCCATTGTGCACCTCCTATTTTACTTTTTGATCCGACACATATTTTGGGTTTCCCATAGCAAAACATGGACACTGCCATTTTATACATATGGGAGGCGGGAGTATCATTTAGTGAGCTCATTGCTCACAGTACCTTTAGTGTTTTTTTTTACAAAGCTTCCAAAGTTTCAATAAACGTAATAGTCGCAAACTCTTATGAATATGATTTTGCAAATGGAAGAACATATAGATTCTGAGGAGGACATGTTTTTGAAAAGTCCATGAATATGAATTAATAACTAGGAGACTTATTGTTCACAGAACAATAAGAGGTCTTTCCACCTTCTTGAATTTCAAATTTGTTTTATATCTGTCTTCTTAAAATCAAATTCCATGAAAAAGAAACCAAAATTGTCTTAAATCATAGAAAAAATAAAAAAAAATTAAAAAATTGAATGACCTTGATCTTTTACCTTGAGAAAATATTCAAGGTCAAAGGTCAAGGGTCACAATGCAGTTAACCCCGTGCTTCTACGACTTATAGTTTTTAAGTTATAAGGTTTAATAGTAAGTACAAAGACGTTAAAGGGCAATAACTCGTATAAGGGGTCATCAGATCCTTTCGCACTTATACAGTGAAGTTATGCCTCAAGATCTTAAAGACATTAGTGAAGGTTTAGTGTCTCTACAGTCTACAGTTTCTGAGGAGTAGCGATTACAAGGTTTTTCGCACAAGGGGCAATAACTTTTAAGAGGGTTAATCTTAAGGAACAAAAATGAAATTTTTAAAATAGTTTTAAGAGTACATATTATTGATGCAAAGACAGTAAGTAAATGTTTAAAGACAAAAGAGATATAAAAGGGCTTAATTTCTCAAATTTGGAATGACCTTGATCTTTGACCTTTGCATTAATTTCATGATCAAAGGTCAATGAATCTTATGCAGTTGGTCCCATGTTTCTATCACTTCTCGTTTTGAAAATGTTTAATTATTTCTAAAATTAAAAAAGTTTCAGGGGCAATAACTCATTGAAGGGGTCACCGAATACTTTCGCAATGAATAGATTCCAGAGTCCTCTCAATTAGTCGAAGACTTTAGTGAAGGTTTCATATTTCTACAGTTTATGGCTTTGAAGGAGTAGCGATAACAAGGTTTTTCGCACAAAGGGCGATAACTTTTTACAGGGTCAATCTTATGGAATATGAATTAAATCTTTAAAACAGTTTTAAGAGCACATATTAATGATGCTTAGACAGTTTGTTATGTTAAAAGACAAAAGAGATATAAAAAGAGCTTAATTTCTCAAATTTGAAATGACCTTGACCTTTGACCTTTGCATTAATTTCATGATCAAAGGTCAATGAATCTTATGCAGTTGGTCCCATGTCTCTATCACTTCTCTTTTTAAAAATGTTTAATTATTTGTAAAATTCAAAAAGTTTCAGGGGCAATAACTCATTGAAGGGGTCACCGAATACTTTCGCAATGAATAGATTCCAGAGTCCTCTCAATTAGTCGAAGACTTTAGTGAAGGTTTCATATTTCTACGGTTTACGGTTTCGAAGGAGTAGCGATAACAAGCATTTCTTGCGAAAGGGGCAATAACTTCGAAAGAGTTCATAGTTCATATACGCAGGGTTTTTTGCAAATATCTCTTACAAAGTACATTCTTATAAACTATAAATGTTTTCAAAAGATCTTGAAACAAAAATTCGTCCGGCGGAAAAATAATAAAAATAATAATAAACAGAAGAATATCAATAGGTCTTTCCACAGAAAGGTGGAAAGACCTAATTACATTCTACTTCCCATAACGATAAGACCTACTAACAAACTATATGTAAATAAAAAGAACTCAAAATTTTTCGTCATCAGCTTTTGCGTATCAATATAATAGTAATCCGCGATCACAATCTGCATGTGGTGTTTATGTCATCGAATATTTTCGATACAAAAATGACGTCTGAATGCTATTGATGGTAGAAACACAAATTTTCTTGGGCATAAAATTTCGTTGATTCGATCGTCATCTAAAAAGGTTTCGTGGACATAAAATTCCGTTATTCCGAAAATAAACCAAATGCAATATATAGTCATAATTTTTTTGTTTACCCCCCCCCCCCCCCGCGAATATTTCTGTTTCTGTGGTATTTTATGAGCAAGACAAGCTACTGATACTTAAATGAGACAGCACATAAAGATTCTTTGGACACATTGTTATGGCGTTGTTGACACCATTTGGTCTCATTTCCTGCCTTGTTTCATACTGATTAACTTTATTTAACTAGGGTATATAATTTTCTTATACCTCATGAATACATAGGACTCATATGCATGACAGTTCTGACCTGTTTACAGGGTTGGCTTACTCCTCATTGACATCTTATATAACCTCTGATTTTTCAACCGGTTTGTATGTTATTTCCACCCAGTCACTGATTTATAATGCTTGCAGTTTATTGTCTTTTCAATTTCTATTTTTAGATCTTTGTTTTATTATCTTTATCTTTTTAATATGAAGGTAGTTGAACGCATTTATTCATGGATGTGACTAGACTAAAAGGAATACTTGCTCCTCTCTGGACCTGCTCCCATCTTTGATGGTTTAAAGGATCTCCGTATCTGCATAGTTCCAGTTGACATTTAAGCCTGAATATTTTTGCATTTGATTAAAAAGAGCAAGTATTGAAGGAATGTTAGAATTATAAAATACAAAATTAAAATTCACATGAGGCGTTATTTTTATTTATCAAACAAGTGAAAAATGACAAAGACCTTCGCATGTCTTGCTTCAGAGTCGAAGATATTTTTGCGACTTTTACACCATTTTTTCACAGACAGAGGCGTGCAGGTGCTTGGCCGAGCCGCAACTAACATCAATCCAATGGCCTGTATATTTCATGAACACACAGTTTCCTCTTCCATCAAGACTGCTCGCTACCCATGACTGAAGGACGGGTTCATTGCTTTGGACCCATGTTACATTATCGTTTTTCCTTCTTGCTCCTATCCACGTAGTGGTTATAAGAGTATTGTTCCCATTTCCTGCAAACGAATATAATGAAAAAATTACCCGAAAAAATTACATTATTAGCTCACCTGAGCCGAAGGCTCAAATGAGGTTTTCTGATCACATTTTGTCTATCGTCCGTCCCTCTGTTAACTTTTCACATTTTCGACTTCTCAAGAACAACTGGACCAATTTTAACCAAACTTGGCAAAAAGCATCCTTGTGTTAATTGCAGATTAAAATATTAAAATGAAGGGCCAAATCCCATCACAAGGGGAGAAAATTAAGGGGGAAAAGGGATTAAAAAATCATCTTCTTAAGAATCACTGGGCCAGAAAAGCTGAAACTTATGTTGAAGCATCCTGGAGTAGTGTAGATTCTAAATTGTTCAAATCATGGCCGTCGGAGCTAGGGCGAGGTCACAATCTGGAATCCAAAGAATTAAAGGAAATATCATTTAAAATCTTCTCAAGAACTACTGGGCAAGAAAAGTTGAAACTTATGTGGAAGCATCCTGGGGTAGTGTATATTCTAAATTGCTCAAATCATGATCCCCTGCAGGGTAGGAACGGGGTCGAAATAAATATTACAAGGGGGAAATCTGGTAAAGATCAGCATGGTCAAAGCCACTCAGGCGAGCAATGTTGTCCATGAACCTCTTGTTTTCATTCATTATGGAAACAAACTTATAAGCAGTTTTGAAAAAGATTTTATTATAATATGAGGCTTATATGTGATTGGATAAACTTGAACAGTTAGTAGATTAATATTGACATCTAATGAATGGCGTAGAAATAACCATGAAAGTTTAATATTTATCTCACCATTTTCGGACAAAAACATTTCTGATATCCATTTGTACTCCTTTGCTGAATTCACCTCTACTAAGTAAGAGTTCTGCACTGTACACTGGGTCTAAAACATGCATATATTTTTTTTCATTATAACGAACACAAGATGTAAGGTAAAAAATTCCATTGAAACAATACAAAATGGGAGCAGAGCAAACAGTGTCACACACCCCAACCCCCAATCCCAACCCCCCAAAAAAAAATCAGAACTGGGATTGAATGGCACTGAGAAGAAAACATCAGCTATCAACTGGTCTTACAACGTGATCATTGTTATGACAGGACAAACGAAAAAAAGCTGTACACATAGCCTTACAATTTGTATGGAATATATCAGTTGGCATGTGGATCATCAATAGATTAAATTTGCTGACAAGAACTGAATCATAATGTATAGACCACAGAATCTAGAGGGAAAGAATCTAATTGCATATTTCTTTCTTTACCCAGTTTCAAGTAATTTCTTGATCTGTTTCTATTTCAATGTAACTGTTTGACGAAGAAGCATCTCTTGTCTGATATGTTGTATAGCATGTTTTTTGGCGGGTGTAAACTTTGGCGTTTTGCCTGCTCAAAGGTATGCCAATAATTTTGGCGTAATTTATTTTAGCGGACACAGGGTTTCAGGTCTTTGCAGATGAACACTTAGAAGAGTACAGACTATTTTAGCGATTAAAAATTTTAGCGGACTTCCATCAAAACCCAAAAATATGCCAAAATTAGCACTCCGCTAAAATAACCCGTTATACGGTAATTATATAAGCTGATTTAAAGTTGATATTGCTGACCTTTTTTATCATTTTATTCCTAAATGGTTTTTCTCCTTTAAACAGCTAATTCGACAAATACTTTATTAGTTGTAAATTTTGACTGTCAAAAAAGAATCTTTCCAAAAAAACGTTTTAAGTATATATAATTCCAAATTTTACCTTGGCAGCTTTCCACGTTACTTTTGTTTCATTCAGGTAATAACAGTGGCCCGCAAAAGGATACCATCCAGACTCACAAGCTTTAACACAAAGATTAAAATAAAAAATAAACAAGTTACATTTAATACTAAAAATATCCTCGGAAAATATAAATTAAGTTTTTTGCATACTGCAACACTTCTTTGAAAAGAAAACCAAAAGTGGTACTGATGTCTTCTTAATGTGATTTGCTGAGACATAAATTCAAAATTTATATATACTTCATTCAATTCGTAGGGTTAATTATCGATTGATTGTTTCATACTCTAGTATTCGGGAACATGCTTTGAAAAATTCTGTAAAATGTTTATTTTTATATTTATGAGTTAAAAGTGAAATAAATCCTTTACGAGTAATAAGTATTTTAAAAAAGGCAAAGTTTTTTTTTTTTTTTTGCCTTCCGATATTACTTTTAAATTAAAAAAATGGAGGTACAATTTTTCTCTTTAAAAAATAAACTTGAAGAATACCATTTTTGCATACAAAAATTGTGTATTTTTAAAGATGATATACTTCATGATATGTTTTGCTATGAAATCTTGCTTACAATGACAACACAGGTGATACAAATAAATTTAATTATCCATACCTTTATAATTTCCAAAAAACTTCCATCCATCTCTTTCTTCAAGAAATCTCGTATTTAGCAGACACACCATCACATTACAGATTTTAAGTTTATCGTTAAATAGCAATCCAGAACATAAATGAATATTCTTCAAGCAGAAAAGCACACAAGATTCGAAAGTTATATTCTCATAATGATCCAAAACGTAATGCTCGTGTACAGGATACAAGTCGTCAAGCAATGCATTCCGTGTCAATGTAAAATGTTGAAACTTGAAACCGGCATGTAAATTTTTAAAAGTCAATAACATTGATATCATTATCACCATTAATTTTAACATTTTTATTGAATATAGAATGTATTAATACGAAAAATTTTAGACCCTTCTTTGTTCCGAAAAGTAAAACACGGGATTTTTAGTGACCTAGTAATTTGGGACTTTTGTAAAAGACACAAGATATGTAAGCAGAGAGGGCCTTACAAATGCAACTCCAGTGACTTACATGCAAGAGAATTATTCACAATTATTCTCAGCTTAATGATTCCGAAGAAATTGAAATTTCTTTGAAAGTATTCACTCATCAAAGCAGTTTAATATATATGCTCTGTATCGTTAAACCTATCCATTTCGTTTAAGTTTTATTGATATTTTTTTTTTTAAAAATCACTTCCTTTCTGTCATAAATCACAATTTCCCAAAAGAAGTATTGAACGTTTCAAAAAAATCCTTAATTATGTTTTGAAAGATTGGTATGTCAATAATAATAATAAATAAATCTTCAAAAAGAAGAATGTAATTGGTAATCAATAACTACATAAATATTGTTAACTGTAATATTAAAAGTAATGCTGTAGATTCCTTCTTTTTGCGAGTACTTATTATCGCGAATGGGCTCTTCAACGTCAAATCGCAAGAATAATAATTTTCATATGCACGGTTGGTCAAGAGATTTTACATTGATTTCATTACCATGAAAAAATAAAGGTGAGTAACTTTATTTCGCGTGTAGTGCTTCTCGCGAAATTACGCGATTATTAATTCCACGCGTATATTTAGGAGTCTACAGTACGTATAATTGTACCATGATACTCTTCACACATTCCAGAAAGTTTAAGATTTTGGAGAAAAAAAATATTTCAGACATTAAATTTAGAGAAAGAAAAATGCTCGTGGAGAGAGAGAGAGAGGGAGATGTTTCTGAACGAAACATATATACATGTTCTTTCTTACTCACAATTTCTTGAACTTCAAACAAAAACATTCAGCATTAAAAATGCTCTCAAATTTTTAAAAGAAAATATTTTAAGTCAATGACAATAATACTGCTTCCTTGGTAATTGGAACAGTTTTCAATTACCTAGAGGAGGGAAAAAACTACCCTGCTGACCTTAATTAATAAAATGCTTTTCTTGGGTGTTAAATTAGTACGGGCATGAATATTACAGCTGTTGCAGAAAAAAAATGACCATTGTTAGCTTTCTCTTGTGTTCCTAAGTGTACGATCGAGAGTTGATATTCCAGAGATCATTTATAAATCCAGAAAGTGTATCTGATTAGAGCGAGGGAAAGTATGTCAAAGATACATGTATTCCTAGTTGCAGAGCTGTAGCTCTATGCTTGAGAGAATTCAGATAGATAAAACAGAGAGCTACATATCCAATCGTTGTAAAAACCTTCGAAGCGGCGGTGTAAATTGAAGGTTTTTACAACGTTTCGATCTCGTATAGTTCTCTGCGTTATCTGTTCGAATTTTCTCTAGCATTTCTGCAGCTA